GGCCGTTTTTCCGCCTTGATAATATGTATCAAATATACCGCACTTTACCGCACTACGGTACCGCAAAACTCCTACAACACCTTGGTTTAAAGGCGTGTGATGCACACAAGACAAGGCATCAAGTCACTCTCAAATCTCACGTTTACGTCTTACACATCGAATAGTCCCTAACTTGAGGTTTTTTTTTAGGTTTTCCATGAGATCGCGGCTAATCGATCAGACACCCATCGGGTAGTTGGAGGCCAAGATTGTGACTCGGGTCTGCCCGGCGGAGGGAGGTGGGAAAGATGGATGGATGGCATAGCAATGACAGAGCTTGATTCCCCATACCATATCTTAATTTACCGTGCTTTGCGGGTGCTACATATTTGATACAAGTACGGTAGACTACGGTATCCCAATTCACCTCGTCAAGGGGTTTGCTAGTACAACCTGAATGAAATAGAGATCGCAGAGAGATCGGATAAGGCATCAGAAAGCATGAAAGAAAGAAAGACAAAGCAATAACAAAAAGGAGATGCTATCATAGAAGGAATATCGTAGAAAACCTCGATAGGAGAAGCGAAGGGTGGGGGTAGTGAGAGAGGGAGGGAAGTGAAAGGCTTTCACGGAAATGGCGAATGAGCCGTCGACCTACTACCAGGAAGCAGTGTACCCTGATTCCGATAGCCATGAAAATTAACAAGCATACTATCACTCGATGAGCATCCATCACTGCCATCGTCACCGTCATCATCATTCCCAGTACCACTCCACGCCCTGTAAAGCTCCGCTCTCTCCAGAATCGTCCTCAGCTCCATATGCTCCACTCCGTCAATATTCTCTGAAGGCAGATGCCCTCTCCTATTCTTGATACGAACCCGGGCGCCCTCTTGGAGCAACAGCTCGACTATATCCTTCCGCCCCCGGGACGCCGCAGCATGCAGCGGGGTATCCCCACCATTATCCTGAACATTCAGCCCCGCCCCGTGCTTAATCAACAGCCTCGCAAACTCAATATGGTTCTTTTTGACAGCAGCGTGCAGGGAGGTAGCCCCATATCTAGTCGCGGCATCACAAGCACCAGAGCGCATCTTGGGCAGCAGCAGCCGGGCAACATCAAGGTAATTGTCCTCGGCGGCGCGGTAGAGCGGTATGACGCCGTTAACGTTGGCGATGGTGACGTTGGCACCGCACGAAAGCAGCACGCGCACGGCTTCGAGGTTGCCGAAGGTCGCCGCGGAATGCAGGAATGTGTTTCCCGTGATGTCGGTGTAGTCCACATCGAGGCCGTGGTCGACGAGCGAGCGCAGGACGCCGAGAGTTCCGCGGTTAACGCCGTTGTAGCATTCCTTCGCCACGGGGGGTTTGCATGGGTCAGCGCCCGCATCGAGGAGTAGCTTCACGATCCCCTCGTGACCTTCGCCCACGGCGAGGCTTAGTGGTGTGGAGGACATACGGGTCGTGTCCTCGACATCTAGCTTCACTCCCGGCCTCTCGAGAATCGCTTTCACGATACTGGGGTTCTTGCTTTTGACCGCGTAGTGCAGGGGTGTCCTCCCGTCGCCCGTGCGGGCAATTGAGTTGACGTCCGCGCCTAATTCTAACATTCGGAGCGTCGAGCGAGTGTTCCCCGTTTGGATGCATCGGCAGAACATGGACTTGCCGTATTCGAAACGCTTCACCGCGGTGCGGTAGAGGGTCAATTCGAGAAGCATCGCGAGCCGGCGGTTGCACTGTAACAACGCCGAGATACTCGACACAGGGAGAACCTCCGCGATCGTGAGCACCAACTCGTTCGGTAACGCGAGAAATTTTGATTCCTCCTCCTCCACCTCCTCCTCCCTCTCTTCTACCCCTTGCTGATGCCTCTTCATGGGGAAATCACTCCTCAATCGCATCGTCTCGGGAGCTGGTGACCTCAGCATCGTACTCCGACTACCACCTCCACCACCATTCCCACCATCATGAAATGCGGAAACAACCGGTGGTGCTGTCATCCTCCTCGTCGGCACAGCAGGCGTAGCCCCCGTCCCAGCCAAAGTCGGCGATAACGCCTGCGACGCCGACATCGGCATCGACACCGGCATGGCCCCCGGAGCATCGATAGAAAGCCTCGGACCAGGAATATCAACAGACAAAACCGGCGGAGGAGCAGTCGTCGACCTCTGCCGTCTAAACTTTCGTAAAAACCGACGCATATTGCAGAAAGAAAAAAGAAAAAAAGAAAACCTTGCCCTTAACCGTGACGGGAGAGATGAAGAAGAAGAAGAGATACGGGGTCTGGTGAACGAGGCCTAGAAACTTAATGAATTAATGAGAAATAACGATGACGAAAACCGGTCGGGAAGAAAAGATAAACAGCAGAGCACACCCCCGCTTCTTTACCCCAATTTTTGATCCCGGCTCGGGTGACACACATGGACGCCGCCGTGTGGGACGATTTGGACGGTGTTGCACGGTGAATAAGGTTGCTGAGGGGATTGTGGGAAAAATACGACCTACCATGCTAGAAGTTAGTTATCATTGGAGGGACGAAGCGAGCCAGGATGGAGGGCCTTACTTCTACAAGCAGGTCCGTGCTCCCCAAGCTCTCTGCTTGCTGTATTGTAAATTTCCTGTACCGATGCCACCCGTGCAGAGAGAAAAGTCACAGTCCTGTAGTGCTTGTAGAGAAGAAAAAGAGAGAGAGAAAGAGAAAAAGGTAAACATGGCGATCGGAGGAAATATAGCATTAACATGGATTATTATCGTCAAGTTACCTACGGTAGCCGTTCCTGATCGAAGCCGGTTGAAAAAAAAAAAATGGTGCCCTATAATTATGATGGCATTCGAGAGGTCGCCTTTGACAGGGGCTTCTTTTTTTCCTTCTTTCACAGCTGCGGATCGGATGGAGGGGTCGCAGCCAATCACATTTCGTCACTCGTCACTCGGAGTTGGTTGTGTTTTTGTTGGCTCGGGACGTCCCGCTTTCGGTTTGATACGACGGTAGGGGGAGGCTAAGATCCGTTTGTCCTGAATATTCGGATACGCTGCATGATACAGGATGCACAAGGTCGGTTGATGGATACCCATGATATGTCTTTCCTGTACTCGAGTAAAAAAGCCAACGCACCATCAAAGTGCCCTTAAAACTACAGCCCCCGATCTGGGCGGCATCATACAATCACAGTAAGGTAGCCTGGTCCTAAAACTACACTAGAAGCGCAAGATTCAACAACCGCCGTAAAACGTGGCTATTAAGTTACCCAACAATACCGGTAATACAAAACTGCGCCCAGTAACCCTCCAGGCCGTTTACGCACCGTACTGGACCAGGAGCCCACGGTAGCCCCTCCCGTCATTGCTTGCTATAGGCTGGGCCTGCATGGGCCTTGGTCTTCCAAAGCCTGTGGGGTTTACGGCGGCCCATGGGGTCTATGGGCTTTTTTTTAAAAAAAAAAAGATTTACTAAGGGATTAGGTTTTAAGAAATAGTGTTAGTATTACAAATTAAAACTGGACTGGGAAACTTGTGAATTCATTACTACCAACCTCCACTTCTGTGACCTCCTATCTATACCTCAGGCTCTTCTTTGTTATCTCTTCAATTTGACAACCAAAAATACAACTCTCCCACAGCTAGACAGCCTGCGAGAAACCTGCCAGTGGCCTTCTGCATCTACCTCCACTACCATAGATGATCGACACAGTACCTTATTGGTTGAACCTGGAGGTTTTTATAATTCCATATTTCCCAGAATTTCTCTTGCCAGTATGGAATACATGGCAACATCAGCAATACAGTATTATCCTACCACCAACTCTCTCAGTAGTGTTAACTTCTCTAATAAACACAACTTTGGTTATGAAGAATAACACAGGTGAAGAGTAAGACTTTTCAAATACTCTACCACTAAAGTTATCAATCTCTATCATATACTCTAATATTCACTTGCTGTATAGTTTATAAATTCACATTCTTTATGAACTTGAAATTGGCCCACTATTATGCTTTCACAATATTGACTTTCTCTAAATAGTCTATTGTTTTTAAAACTTGAATATTATTTTAAAAAAGCAGTGAAACTAACCACACTATGATATATAAACCTACCACCTTGATTGATACTATTGATTGAGGGTGGTGTTGATAATAGAGCATAATTGAAAATATAGGTTTAAGCATATTTTTACCCTGGCCTATGAGGCGCCACGGGCCAGACCAGGCTTTAGTGATCCTGGCCCAAATTTTGGCGGGCTGTCACGGGCTTTGCTGTGCCTGGTCCATGGCAAGCACTGTCTCCTGTACGGTGGAAAGTGCCTAAAAGTAGGACCTCCGATGAAACAAGAATTCCGTGACAACCGATCAGGCCGGAGCCAAAATGAGTGTAAATAGTAAAATAAGATATGTAAATAAAATTGAAATTAATATACAAACTGGTAATTTTTTTATCTTAAAGAAACACGTCGCATTTTGGTTTTGAATGATTGGTGCTCTTGGTCAAATCACAAATCATAGGTGAGTAAGCTGTATTTGACTGGATGGATGCGTATTTCTTAGTTGCTCTTCTGCCAATTTCCTATCCTTTATTTTCTTACCATAATTCTTCCTTATTCTATTACATAATCATGCCCCCCCCCTTTTTTTCCTCTATGTTTTTTTCAGCATACTCTAGGTAGAATTGGTCATTTGTTTCACTCTCACCAAAAATTCAGCACTTTGATCTGAAATTACATCTCATAGCATTCCTTAATTCAAAAATAAAAACCACCAGCTTCTTCTGCCCAGCATTGTCTACCTCCCTGTGGTTTTTTTTTTCCTTCAAATTTGGTGTTGCCATTGACTAATTCCACATTGCATTTGCCTAGTTTTGAGGTCCCGGTTTGATTCGATTTGCATTATACTTAACATTCCCCGCCCAATCTAGCGGTAAGCTAAAGCGACATCGACTCCATCACCATCACTCACCCTTGGGTGGAAATTTTTGTTTTTTTCCCTATATAATAATTATACAAAAACTGGAAGAAAAAAAAAGTGTATGATTTGGACGAGATTCGAACTCGCGCTCTTTCGAATTACGGTTTTGAACTTAGTTCCTAAACGTAACGCCTTAACCACTCGGCCACCAAATCGTACCGATAGTCCTTTCAGACACCTCTACAGTAGTGGTCGTTTCCTTCCGGGTCTCAACTGAACCAACTATGGAGGAGAAAATGCCGCAGATCGGGAAAAGCCCAGTATTACAAGAAATTTATTATCCCTGATCAACCCCCATAATCTTATTTCTTCGTCAACCGCCCTGCCCCCCTTTCTAAGTAATATAAGAAAAAATTGATTGGAATAAAGGAAATAAAGGAGGAAAAGCAAACGAACGCTATCCAGCCCCCATGCTAGCTCAGAATCATGAGGGGAAGAAAACCAAACTCCCGATATTAGACGTATACAAGAACCTTGAGATTTGAGTTACCCCGAATGGGAAAGGGATAGAGAGTAAATAGATGCCTGGAGAGCTCCCTTGCTCCTAAGTTACTAGAGAAGTGTGGGAGAGGGAAAGAGGAATATATGTGAAAATAGGGGATGGGGTTTCTAGAGGTAGATACCGGTATGTACCTCACTTCCGCTTCCTCCTGCGAAATCCCCGGGGGAAATAGGTTTAGGATAGTAATAAAAAAAAAGTATGAGAAAGGATCGGCGCAAAACGCTACTTGTTCACTCTTCCGCACGCTCTGGGTACCCTTAAGTATATTGCCCACACCACGATGCCGAGAAATCGCCTAGGACAGAAACAATGCGATCATGTGGGAATAGAAAAGGTAAAGCCTGGCGAATGGGTTCGGGCAATCAGATTCCACCCGGGTCTTTACCCTCAGTTTTCAGAGCTGCCGGGATATTTTCGTGCTTCGGCGGAGAGGGCCCAATATCCCTAGGGGTTCTTGAAAACCATCCTCCATGCTCCCATTGCCCGGGCTCGTAGGCATTTTTCGCCCTTATTGCCGGATCCCGGATACCGTCTAGAAGTAACTTTAGCCTTCCGAAGTTGACAGGCTTCATTATCCATCCATCGAAGCCCAAGTCAACATATTCCGTTCGTCTCTCTTCAGCTAGTGAAGCTGAGACAGCAAATATCGGCACACGGCGGTTAATGCGGTGCCGTTTCGGGATGGATCGGTTTGGATCTGCTCCCTCAAATTGGCGGATACGAGCGGTTGAAGTTCCCCCATCCATGATGGGCATCTATAAGGGTCATGAGCTATCAATAAACCTCGAAAATCAACCAAACTTACCTGCATGTCCATCAATACGATATCATAATTTTGTCCATGCTTGGAGTATAGGTCTGCACATTCTTCCCCGTTTACAGTGAGGACAACCCCATGACCCATCTTTTCCAATCGCTTCTTGATAATCTTGCTATTGATTGGATCGTCTTCTGCCACCAAAATTTCATACTTCCCCGGGAGCTCTGTGGGCGAATTGGAATCGGTAATGGGAGGTAATTCCGTAGGTGACGCTGGATCTACTGCGGGCAGCGGGGCGGGGCTAGAGTTTTCGCCTGGCATTCTTGGGGCCTTGATAGGCGCGATTGAGCCGTCTGTCATCTCCTGGTCAGGATTTTTCCGTGGTGTAGCGAAGCCCATAGTGTTCGAGGACGATCCTGCGTGTATGGCAGCACCCGGCCCCGCCGGTGGGTTGTTGTTCGAAGGCGTGCTCAAATGGGGACTTAAGATCGCCTGAACAAACCTGTCAATTTCACTTCCACTTTTTGCACCACGAAAAGACTCCAATTCGTTCATACTCGGGCCGCTGCTTCCCCTCGCCATATCCTGAGATCCGTTGTTATGGGGATCAATTGACAATACCTCGCATGGGGTGGAAGGCACTGAGGGTGGCTGTGGTGAGGGTGACTTTTGCCTTTCGGCGACTCTTTTCTTCTGCTCCGAGGCAGGCTCCGCTTTGGGCGGAAGCGAGAACTGAAGGCTAATAGTAAACCTAGAGCCTTTCCCCTGCTCCGATTTCAATCGAAGTTGGCCATTCATGTTCCTCACAATCCGAGCCACAACCGCTAACCCAAGCCCTAAAATCTTCTGCCCTGGTATTTTAGACACTGCGTTAAAGGATGTTGGAAGTGGACCTTTATTCCCTCTTGCCTCCTGACGATCCATCGCATCCTCCTCAGTGTGGACTTGCTCAAATTCCCGGAAAAGCGCCTCTAGTCTCTCCGATGACATTCCAACCCCGGTATCTTGGACCGCAATTTGAATCTGGCATCGGCCGCCAACAACCTGGGGCATCCAAATCTCAATCTTGACGCCGCCCTCTAGAGTATGCTTAACAGCATTTCCTACAATATTGGAAACGGCTTGCCGTAGCCGTGCCTTATCACCCTTAACAAATCTAGGTAACCCTTCGTATTCAACGACTTCGAAGGTGATATTCTTCCGTTCAGCGTCCGATTTATATCTTTCAGTAGCAGCACGAACTGTTTCAGAAAGGTCAAATGCCTCTTCCATGATCAGGACTTGGCCCGCCTCGGCGCGGGTGAGATCTAGCAAATCGTTGATGACGTAAATGAGTGATTTGGACGCAGAGTGCGATCTCATCAGATTATCCCTTGTCTCGTTGTCAAGAGGACTCTCCAACGCAATCTCAAGGTAATTAATAATGGCATTAAGGGGTGTCCGAACTATATAAATCATGAACGAGGGCACCTGAAAAGGGGGAATCCCGCAGTACACTGACCCTCATGAGACGCGTTGGCTAGGAGCAGTCGGGTAAGTTGGCTGGTTTGCAGTGCTGCTTCTTTTTGTCTCCAAACTTCAATAAACTTGCCGTAGATCAAACACAAGACCGCTGCCGTTTCGACTGTACACCAGTAATAAACTTAGCCTATAAAAGTGAAATGCGAGAATCACTCATTACTCACCCTGTTCTTCCGTCCAATCCCTAGACTTTCCCACCACCGTCTCACTCCAAGTTTTGAAGCTTTTCCTCGGCTCCAAATACTCCTTTGTACCTTCTTTCGCGTTCTTCTCGTAGGGGTTTCCAGCCCAATTGACTTTCCATAACTGGCCCTTTCGGAAGAAAACTATAAAATCTTGTCCTCCAACGCTAAGTGGCACCAGCAACAATCCCGCAATTATTGAAAATCCAGAGTCGTAATTAAGGTCTGGAAAGTCGACGCTAATGTTTTGCGAAGTAAGCACGGAGGTGAATTTGCGCACCCGTAAATATTCCAACATTGCGAGTGATTCCCGTGAGTGTTCGAGTTTGCCGAGGACCTTAGTTTCCTCGCGAATCGAAAGCAAACCAAAGTCGACGTCAAATAGTTTCAGCAGATCGTCCGAACTAGCGGTAATATAACCGCTAGGGTTCTGCTCCGTCGGGACCGTATTGATCAATTTCCGGGCTTGAAGTCTCGATGCATAACTTAACCTCTCGACATTCCTGCTAGCGTTCTCCCCGATGAGTCTGCACATTTTCCGTATAGGAAAGCTCACTCTCATCCCCTTTTGGCCGTAGCTGTGGCATGAAATGAGCCCCCAAAGCTTATCGAATGCTGTAAGCGAAATGCTCGTGCTCGCTCGCACCGCCATATTTTCAAGGTACTTGATATGAATTGGGCTGATTGCTCTCAGGTACGAGTGAGTCATGTCGAGAGGATCGTCCAGATACTCTTTGCTCTTGCATACAAGACGAGCTGTCACCTGGTCTCTATCGTATAACAGCCTGACTTTGTTGAGGAGATATAAATCCCTTGCTTGCTTTGGGATATCCGAGGCCGGGAAGTGAAGGCCTTTGTATAGGTCCTTGGTTGCTCTTGGATCGACCAATTCGGTAACTACCCGGCCATTCCAGACCTCGTCAAACCGGTAAATCATTACACGGTGAAATCCTGTAAGTTCTTTAACAATCCCAACAACCACTTTTAGAAAGATGTCAAGAGTCGAGGCGGATGATAACTGCTCTGTGTTTGGACATTGTCAGCGTGCTCACCCCCATGGGTTATACTATGAAAAGGATCTGATTAACTACCCTGAATCTGGCTCATGAGATTAAAAACCTCCATTGTCGCAGCTTGCCCCCTCTGCTTTCGGGCATGCCTTAGTACTCGTAACGGCCTGCTAGCACTTAACGTGCTCTCTAATAAATCTTGCTCACTAGGGTTGGAGTTCAGTGTGTCCTCAGGCAGTGGAGGTGCTTCCTCTTCCGTTGGGCTGAAAAGTGGATAGATGTGATCGTCCTCCAATTCAAACTCACAAATGAGCAGGTCAGGTTTTTTTTCCGCAATGTGAATAGCGCACCAAAGTTTTATTTCTGTTGAATTAGGGGAAGTTATCGCCAACGGGAAGACGTCTGGTCCTGAGTGCACCGGATCAGACACATAGCCTCGGACAAAGTCCAAGTGTTCATATAGATTCTCGGCTTGCTCTTCGGAGAGAATATTGCAAAAACTGTCCAAGGCGAAGAGGGCTGCTGGTGAGTAACCAATTATTTGTTCGGAATTCTATACCCAAATGATTCAGATTTTTGGTGTTTCATATTATTAGGGGGGGTGAATTGGTGGAAGGGCACAAACCTCACTAACAACCTCTACACCGAGCCATCCCTCCACATCTTCTTTAAGGGCTATTAAAACACCAAAACCTTGGACTGCCCCGGGTATGCGTATTGGCTCATCCTCACATCTTCGTATACTTTCACTCCCGGAAACACCTGTAACTACCATATGTCCTTCATCTGTTACCAGATGCTTAAATCTGGCGGTCACATATCCCTCACGGCTCCCGCCCGATGACTCCGGAACACTGCGAAACATCCCCCCGCCAGCTTCACTCTCTCCGGGGGTACTCGGCTGTAGATTCTGCCCTAATGCCGGAATCCCACCAAAGTCTCCCGATGCTCCCTTTCCTCCGGCTAGAGACGCAACAAACGACCCCCTATCCGAGCCGGCTATCGTTGATGTTTCTCGAGTCCTAGGCTGGCTCCCTCCCCTCACATTTGGCAGCGCTTCCCCCGTGGGTCTACCCAAATCGTTGCTGCTAGCCGGCGATCCCGGCCCGGGAGGGGGTCGTGATATGTTGACTACAGATCGAATAGGATAGACGATATCTGGGCCATCTAGAGAGAGCGG